TCTATATACGAAGACTACTCACGTAACCCAGATAGCGTCCCGGCGAGAATAGAAGACGGAACCACAATCATAACTGTAGAATTATAGTTAGGCTCCATGTCGTAATTGCTACCTTAAGGGTAATACATTCTTCCCCCTCCTTCCGCATCGTGCAACCTTTGTCGGAAAACCCTTCGTCGTGGGTATCCCCGGAAAAATTTCCGTAATACGACGTTGTCTCGCGCAATAGTTCGAGCACGTGCAACGCGAATCATACACTCGCGAATAACACGCCGCGACTGCGAACGGGACGTAACAATACTTAGGGTTAGAATTTTAGAATTAGAGTTAGGATTTAGAATTTGGACTTGGAATTTAGAAGTGCGACTGTACTGTTCGGTGTCGCGCAGAGAACTGCCGAAATTCGGGACTGCTCTGAGGTCCTTCGTTTCGGCGGCTCGGGCCTGCGGCGGCCTAGAGAGGGGGAACTCTCCGGAGTAGGGGCTCTCACCGTGGTGGGAGACCCTTAGGCGCTACGAAGCGCCACGCTTAATTTCTAGGCGGAGTTAAGCGTCATGGCCGGCTTTGGCGCGCTTTTCAAATGATGTTTGATAGTTTTAGGATTTATTCCTTATAGATAGAAAAAAAAATTTACATACCCGGACATAGTAATGAAGCCGGACGTGACACCTCCCCCCTTAAAAGAAAATGTTGGACCATGTTCCAACGTTTTCCGAGCTTAGTAGTAGAATTTACAAAGTATAATTTTGTTAACCTATCACTGAGTCTATACTCCTTCGTTGAGGAGATTGCGCAGTTCTTTGTAGTCTATAGGCACTTCACTTTGGACTTTTTCTGTCGGGGGTGCAAAAACTTCGGTCGTCGAAGGGGGATTTAGGGGTGTTAGCTCTCGTCCGTTGTCCTGGTTCTCGTCCGCTGGTTTTCCGAGGTGCAGTAGAACGTTTGTTACTGAGGTCCAAACGGCTCCCAGGAGGTGCAAACTCCATCCATATACGGAATGGAGTGCGTAGCCATGTATCAGTGTATCGATAATTAGTTTGGCGACACGAACGATGACGAATATTCCGAGGACTCCAGCGCTTGCTGATCCGAAACTTACGAATCCTTTCCACAAGCGGGCTCCCGTATTTTCTGCTAGCTGGTCGAGGGTTTTCTCGTCCAACAGGTTTAGCATAGAGAAGCTTTCCGCGGGGACTTCTTGTCCCATTGCTCCTCTAGCAATTGTATTGAGCATAGAGGGTTTCTTCATGGGAAACATAATGTGGTCGCGAAGACGATCAAGGTCTTCGCTGGTATAGATGCCGCTGGAGGCGAGTGAATCTGGACTGACGTATCTCCATTGTGGTTTGGTTAGTGGTTGAATCATCGGCGGCGCCATTGATTCCACTGGCTTTGAAGTTAAACGATACCAGATGTTGTGTACTTGATACATCGCTGGAAGTAGTTCGTGGCAATCCCTGGGTGTTCCTGTTTGGGTAAGTATCCTTGATCTTGGCAACAGGAAGAGGGATTTGTTTTGGTGGGTGACGGGGAGTTCGTTGTAGCATCTTTCAGCTTGCCGTACTCGGCACTCCACCGGTACGCATTTGATCAAATGGAGGACTTCGCCTGCCGTAATGGCGGTGTAGCCTGGTGCCTTCATGATTCGATGCGCCATTTCGTCCGGGGCGATGCTGGCGAGGGAGAAAGCGTTTTGTAGAATTTGTCTCTCTAAAGCACATTTTTGCTCCATTATGTCTTGATACAATTGTGTCAATTGTGTTTTCAGTGTTTTTCCACGTAAATGAATTTGGAATTTATGTAGGAAAATATATCGAGGTTATCGATCGGGACTCTGGAGTGGCCCTTAAACGTATGTCCAGGTTGAGTCTCGAGTATGCAGAGTTTGGGATGTTCCGTCCTTAAAATTCTGTAGCCGCACACGTTTATTTCCGTGGTTCGTGCTAAAGCAAAGGTGGTTTCTTGCGTGGTGACTGTGTAGATAGTCGGTGATTCCCTCTGTGTGGGCTTAGATGAGAGGCGGTGTGCTAGGCCTTGGTAGAGAACGTCGTAGCGATTGAAGTGGCAGTTATCGCTGGGTAGCGCCGTCCAATATGTGGTTGAGCCATCTGCGTCGTTGCATTCTCCTTCAGCTACGGGACATCGAGCACCGGAGGGTAATATTACTTTATTGGTGCTATGTCTGACGGGGAGCTCGAGTCTTCGGGTGGTAATTTTTATAGATGCTTGAACGACCACGTTATCCCAAGTGCCAAACGGGTCGCTGAACTGAGTTCCGAAGCATGTTCCGTCGGTTCTGGTGGTTCCTGCGAGGGTCAAGCTACGGTGGTTGGTGGTATTCACCTTGATGTCCGTGATGAGGCCGTTGTTTCCCAGGAATATAGTTCCGGTGTTGTATAATTTTTTGCAGGTTTCTGCCGATACTTCGCGGATGTATTCGCGCCTGCCATTGTGCACCAAGGATACATGTGAGTGCATCCCACAGTAGTAGATAGTTCGATCGATTTCAACTTTACATTGGAGTCCGATGGTGTGGTCGAATTCGCTCAATTGTAACAGTTGTATATATACTTCTTCTTTGTCCGCTTCAATGTTATCTAGGTTACATTCTCCGATATCCGTGAGGGATAGTGAAGTAATGTTTAGACCATGTCCTCCGCAGTCATAACCTATTAGTCCGTTAGAGGTTATGGTTAACAGCGAGACTGCTATAAGGATACTTGCGTAGATCTTCATTCTACTGAGGTTCGTCAATTACTGGCCGGTCCTCCGCCGATGCATCCAAGATATAGTCGTCTCGCCCGGAGTGGGGGTCTTCCTCGATAGGGTTTTGATGTGGGGAAGCTTTTAGCTTGTCTTCGTGTACAATTTTTGTCTTATTTCTACTTATGGCTAACTTAACGTTACGATTACCTAAGAGACAAATGATTTTATAGGGACCGGTGTATTGATTGCTTAATTTGCCTTTATTTGGTTCTTTTAATAAGTACACGTAGTTTCCCGCTCGAAACTGTTGGGCGTTAACTCGGCGGTCGTAATAGACCTTTGACCTTTGTTTAGCGGCTACTAAGTTTTCGCGGGCGACGGCTTGGGCGTCACTCAGTTTGTTAAAAAGGTTTGTCAGATAATTAGCGTAACTCTCGTCCGTAACGTCGGCGACATCGGGGTAGTTGGAAGGCAACTTGGCTATCTTCCCAAAGACTAATTCATGGGGAGTATATCGCGTCCCTTCGTGTACGCTAGTGTTCCGGAACCGTTGAAAATAACTGAGAGTCTCCGCGAAAAGTCAAATGTCGCGCGATCAAATATATTGAGAACCATCAATCGTCGCATTAGCGAATCACGAATTTCCACGCGACCGAGGCATAGCGCGTAGCCGATCCTTCTCACACCTCTTTGCAATTCGCATTCGCGGTCCTTTTCGCCAACTCAAGTGCGCGGTGTATCGATTAGGATCTGTCGCGCACCCCCGTTCATGCCTATCTGAGTCGCTAATATCCTTCCTCGACCCAGTTCCTTCTTGTTGTTCCGGCTCTCAGTGTATTAACACATTGCCTTGTTATTGGAGATTCGTATCACGCGTGGTTCACATAATCCTTCGAGTCACGAAGGTGATTCATTTCCGCCGGTCATCGGCAAAACTTTGTAGAATATTGTGCAAGCGATATTTTCCGTTATTTCAGTTTTTTTTGTGAAAGATCGACAATTTTAGTTTTTATGTGAAAGATCGAATAAACCTTTTTGAACCATATTCTCAGCTGTTAACAATCAACCCCTTCTTCCCTCTATTCCCGATTGAAATTAATTTAATCAGTGCATTCCGCAACATTTCTGGTCCTTCGAGCCGGATCGGGACTGAGGTTTTTTGCCTTTTTTGACTGTTAACAGCTGTGTTGGTGCTACGCGTTCAGTAGCGAACTCGTTCGATTATCGCGTAGTGGTGCAATAAAAACCTGTGTAAAATGGAATCCTTCGAAGAATTGATGCACGAACAGTCTACCAAAATGAGCTCAGTTATTCGTGCGATATCTAATTTTAAAAAGTTAGGTCAAGCTAAAATGACCTATGCAGTGACGAAGAATCGCATGGAAACATTAAAAGAAAAATTTGAACAGTGCTCAAAATTAGATGCCAAATTACACGCTTCCGCTGACTCCAAGGAGAAGACCACGCACCCCTACTTCTCAGATCACGAATTTGACGAGTGCGAAGAAGCCTACGAGACAGCGTTGGATTATTTCGCAGAGGTTGTACATGAACTCTCCAAATCATCAGCTCATCCTGCAGCTAACGTAAGTCATTTGCACGAATGTCAGTCTCATACGACACTCAACCTACCGAAGGTCACATTGCCGGTCTTCGATGGATCGTTCGACAAATGGGAGAGCTTCCGCGATCGTTTTCAATCGATGATTATAGAAGAAAAAAGCCTGTCTAACGTACAAAAATTGCATCATTTATTCTCGTGTCTAAAGGCGAAGCGCTCATCGCGATCGAACATTTAACGATTACTTCTGATAATTTTGCTGTAGCGTGGACGATTCTTTCGTCCAATTTTGAAAACGAGCGTCGGCTAATCAATTCGTATATACATCGCTTATTTACACTGCCCAATGTTACGGCGAAATCGGCGACCGAACTTCGAGCTCTACAGAGCAAATTAACTGCCGCAATTGCCGCGTTAAAAATTTGTCTCGTCCGGTCGAACATTGGAGCGATATTTTTGTTTACATTATCACACAAAGACTCGACAAATCCTCGCGCGAAGCGTGGGAATTGAAGTTAGGAAAAACGACCGTCTATCCTACGTTTGACGAAATTAACGCGTTCTTGGATTCTCGTATTCGCGCTCTCGACGCCCTTGTACCGATCGCTTCGACACTCGATAAACAAAGCGATAAATCAAACGCGAAATTAAAACAAAGGGTTGTCACTTCGCATACAACAAGCGCCACGAAAGTTTCATGTCCCGTGTGCGAATCGAATCATTTGTTAAATCAATGTACCGCGTTCCTCGAAAAACGCCGACTCAGCGATACGAAATTATTCGTAATGGCAAGCGTTGCCTTAATTGTCTCAGTTCGAAGCATCAAGCGAAAGAATGCCCGAGTACCCGCTCGTGTAAAGAATGTCACAAAAGGCATCACACGCTTTTACATTTTTTTGACGCTCCGAAATCAGCTGCTCAAGCGTCATCGTCTCCCGCGTCAACGAATCCCGTCATCTCGACAAGTGACGTTTCCTCGCATATCATTGCGAAAGCTGTAACAGCGCGTCACATTCTCCTGGCAACTGCTCGCGTTCGCGTGCATTCAATGCACGGTCGATTCCAATGGGCCCGAGCGCTCATCGATCAAGGATCTGCGTCATCCTTTATAACCGAAAATTTAGTGCAGTCATTAAGACTTCCGAAATTAAATACCGCTGTTAGGGTATCAGGTATCGGCGAAACGCAGACAAGCGTTCGACATGCCGTTCATCTAACAATAACTCCCAGCAACGCGGACACTCCGGTTTATAGAACCACCGCGTTAATTTTAAAATCGTTAACTCGATATTTGCCAAACCATCTCAACAGTCCAGAGCAATGGCCGCATTTGAATGGCCTTTCGTTAGCTGATCCCGATCCAGCAGGATCAGATCCAATAGAAATAATTATCGGAGCGGATCTTTTCGGGTCACTCATCCTCGATGGAGTTCGAAAAGGCGCGGTTGACAAATCGATCGCTCAAAACACCGTGCTAGGCTGGATCATATCCGGACCTATAGCGCAACTCAAACCGCTCTCGAAGTCGTCCATTGGAGTACATCATTGCTCTGTTACGGATGATCTCAATCAAACTCTCCGCCGATTTTGGGAAATCGAAGAAATTCCCGCTTCATCAAAAATAACTAGTGAAGAAAAGGCATGCGACGACCATTTTAATTCGACACACTCTCGAAATTCTGAAGGTCGCTATATCGTCAGACTTCCATTTAAACACGGACCTCCACTCAACATTGGAGAATCTCGACATTCCGCGCTTCAGAGTTACCTTCGCACGGAAAGCCGCATTAAAACGGATTCATCGAAATCGTCGGAATATCATAATTTTTTAAAGGAATATTATGATCTGAGACACATGCAACGCGTCTCAGAAACCGAACAATTAATCGACTCGAATCAAATCGTATATATTCCGCACCATGCCGTATTCCGCGCTAACAGTTTAACAACGCGAATACGTATCGTTTTCAACGCTTCAAGTCGAACCTCAAACGGTATGTCATTGAATGATCATTTATATCCGGGCCCTAAACTTCAAAAAGACCTTGCTGCAGTGATTTTGCGTTGGCGCACATTTCGATACGTTTATTCCGCCGACGTGGCAAAAATGTATCGCCAAATTCAAGTCGATCCTCGCGATCGTGATTTCCAGCGCATCTTCTGGCGGCCATCTCCAACACATCAAGTTGAGGAGTATCGTCTCTGTACCGTAACGTACGGCATGACTTCAGCTCCGTACTTAGTTTTGAAGGTCATGAATCAACTCGCCATAGATGAAGGCGCTTCATTTCCATTAGCCACATCCGTTATCGATCGTCAAATGTACGTCGACGACTTTATCTTCGGCGCCGACGACAAAGTTCTCGCTCGTCAAACTCGCGAGCAGATTGTTTCTCTGCTCAAAAGAGGTGGATTCACGCTACGAAAATGGGCAAGCAACGTGTCCGAACTCCTTGACGAGATCGAAGATACCGACCACGGTCTCGCTCAAAGCCGAGATCTAAACCAAGATGAGAGCTTGAAAATTCTCGGTCTTACGTGGCAACCAGATCGCGACATCTTCAAATTCACCATTACGATTACAGGGCCTCCTGGCAACACCAAAAGAAGAATTTTATCCGACATCGCCAAATTCTTTGATCCACTTGGATGGGCAACTCCAGTGATTATTCGCGCCAAAATTTTGATGCAACGACTTTGGATCGCTAAATGTGATTGGGACGAAGTCGCTCCGCCGAATCTGCTTGAAGCCTGGCAGCAGTATCATACTCATCTTAAACAGCTAGAAGAGGTGATGATTCCACGTTGGATTCAACTCGGCCATCACGTACTGCATCTAGAGTTGCATGGATTCTCGGATGCATCTACCAAAGCATACGCTGCAGCGGTGTACATTCGCGTTGTCACGGTGGATGGGTCTCGGTCAATCTTCTTGCCGCAAAATCAAAAGTCGCTCCTGTCAAAGTAATGAGTGTTCCGCGACTCGAGTTATCTGCAGCTCAATTACTCGCACGGCTCATTTATTTCATTTGCGAAGCTCTCGACTTTCGTGAGGTAAATGTTTATTGTTGGACCGATTCCACAATTACTCTTGCCTGGCTGAGCCGACCTTCTACTACATGGAAGACATTTATAGCGAATAGAGTAGCCGATATTCACACGCTGCTTCCGGACATTCCATGGCGTCATGTCCCAACAAAGGAAAATCCTGCCGACTGCGCATCGCGCGGGATCTCTTCCGACGACCTTGCCACAAACCTTCAATGGTGGTCAGGGCCCGATTGGCTTATTAAATCTTCCGATTACTGGCCACAATCTGACTCGGATTTCGATCCCCACGCGCTAAGCGAGCAACGCGCGCAACCACAATCGCTCACTACATCCGTTGTCGCATCGTGGGACCTATCACAACGTTATTCGTCATGGCACAAACTCCTTCGAATAACTGCATACATCTATCGATTCATAACGAATTCCCGCTCTCGACATATCAATCTCAATCTGAAGATACAAAACCCTAGAGCTCCGATCTACCTAAATCCGATTGAAATCAAGTCCGCTGAAATCTTTTGGATTCGTTATATTCAATCAGAATTGTTTCATAGCGAGATATTAGCACTCAGTACGGCAACTCCAATCAAGAAATCTAGCACACTGCTTTCATTAAATCCTTATCTCGATAATGATCAAATAATTCGAGTCGGTGGCAGGCTAAGGAACGCCACTTTACAAAGCGCCGTTCGCAATCCGATTGTCCTAAAGGACCATACCTTGGTCAGGATGATCATCATGGACACCCACCGACGAATGTTGCACGCTGGATCTCAATTAACATTAGCTCGGATTCGAGAGAAATTTTGGATTCTGCGAGCACGATCTCTGGTTCGCGCTGTACTCTACAAATGTGTATCATGTACACGAGAAAAGGCTCAGATTCCTACCGAGCTCATGGGCGACCTTCCGAATGTAAGAGTAAATCGCTCAGCTCGAGCATTCGAACATGCCGGTGTCGATTATGCCGGTCCAATTCTTGTACGAACCTCTCGTGGACGAGGTCATAAAGCGCATAAAGCCTATATTGCCGTGTTCGTTTGTATGACGACAAAGGCGATCCATCTCGAGCTCGTTAGCGACTACTCTTCAGACGCTTTTCTCGCCACATTAAATCGTTCCGTTTCTCGTCGCGGATACCCTGCATCGATTTATTCGGATAATGGAACCACATTCCAAGGTGCCGATCGCGAACTTAAACTCGCAATCGCGCAGGCTTTAAAAAACTCGGATTTGCAAAATACGCTTTCGACCGACGGAATAAACTGGCATTTCGTGCCTCCTTCCGCTCCCCACTTCGGTGGATTATGGGAAGCTGCCGTACGCAGCGTCAAACACCATTTAAAGCGCTGTATCGGCTCACATACGCTCACATTTGAAGAATTAAATACTGTTCTTTGTCGTATCGAAGCGTGTCTTAACTCGAGACCTATTGGGTCTGTGTCCGAAAATCTCGATGATTATCATGTATTAACACCGGGACACTTCCTCATCGGAGGACCCATCTTAGCTGCGCCACAGCCAAGCGTTCTCGATCTTAACGAAACTCGTCTTTCCCGCTGGCAATTGTTGCAACATATTACAGAAAAATTTTGGAAATCATGGTCAAACGACTACTTATTAACGTTGCAGCAGCGGCCAAAATGGAAAATTGCGCAACGACTTGCGACTGTAGGCCGAATCGTTCTCTTGCGGAACGCACTTGCTCCTCCGTCTCACTGGGAGCTCGGACGTATCATCGAATGTCATCCCGGCAACGACGGACTCGTTCGCGTCGTTACCGTGCGCACCGCGCGTTCACAGTATAAGCGTCCAATTGTAAAATTATGTTTTCTTCCGATCGATATCAATACTTCAAGCGATCAAAGTTCCGCCATGGCGGGCGGCACCGATTCCGATTAGACTTAAGTAATAATGCTCAAAAATTATTGTACTGCACCATTTGTTGTAAAAAAAAAAAACCTTTCCATATTCATATTGTAATCGTTATAGTCTTTACTTCGAATAAAATCATTCGAGACGGGCGGTATGTTCCGGAACCGTTGAAAATAACTGAGAGTCTCCGCGAAAAGTCAAATGTCGCGCGATCAAATATATTGAGAACCATCAATCGTCGCATTAGCGAATCACGAATTTCCACGCGACCGAGGCATAGCGCGTAGCCGATCCTTCTCACACCTTTTTGCAATTCGCATTCGCGGTCCTTTTTCGCCAACTCAAGTGCGCGGTGTATCGATTAGGATCTGTCGCGCACCCCCGTTCATGCCTATTTGAGTCGCTAATATCCTTCCTCGACCCAGTTCCTTCTTGTTGTTCCGGCTCTCAGTGTATTAACACATTGCCTCGTTATTGGAGATTCGTATCACGCGTGGTTCACATAATCCTTCGAGTCACGAAGGTGATTCATTTCCGCCGGTCATCGGCAAAACTTTGTAGAATATTGTGCAAGCGATATTTTCCGTTATTTCAGTTTTTTTTGTGAAAGATCGACAATTTTAGTTTTTATGTGAAAGATCGAATAAACCTTTTTGAACCATATTCTCAGCTGTTAACAATCAACCCCTTCTTCCCTCTATTCCCGATTAAAATTAATTTAATCAGTGCATTCCGCAACAGCTAGTATTATAAGAGAATGACGCTAGTTTTAAGTATTTGTCCCAATCATTGTTTCTATCTACGTATTGCTTTAAGTATTCCCACAAGACATGGTGGGAGCGCTCTATTGAGCCATTAGATTGCGGCCGGTAAGCCGTCGTTTTGAAGTGCTTAATTTTAAACCTTTTTGCTATGTTACGCATTAGGCTATTTAGAAAATGCGATCCCTGATCTGTTAGAATAGCTTTTGGCGCTCCGAAGACGCATATTAGTTCATCGGTGAACGCGTCAGCTACGTCGATCGCGTTAGCGTGTTGCAGAGGGATTGCTAAGGAATATTTTGTTAAAAGATCTTGTATGGTAAGTATATATTTGTTATTAGTCTGTGTGACGGGTAATGGTCCCATAATGTCCATCGAAATTTTGTCGAAAGCTGTGCCAGAAGTGTCTGTTAGAACCATGGGTTGTCTGGTCTTTACGCGGACTAATTTTTTCAATTGGCAAGGGCGACAGTTTTTTATAAAAATTTGAATGTCGTTTTTCATACCGTTCCATTGGTAGCGTTTCTTTATACGTTGGTATGTTTTTGTAATGCCTTTATGGCCACCGATCGCTGAATTATGATTTTCGGCGATAATGTTTTTTCTCTCGGCTTTTTGGGGAATAGATATTTCGTTATTACAAATAAATATTTTTACATTAATTTCGCTTAGAATGCGCGTTAGTAAAGAGTGTACCGCGTTCCAGGGGACGTTGTCGATATCGCCTGTAACGTCCAGACAAATTTCAAAATTTCAATCTTTTTCAAAATTTTATTCTTTAACATATTAGTCATTACAATCTCTAACCTACATGAAAGACCGGTATAAACAATTTAATCTCACATATAATTACTTATAAGTTAAAACATGTCTTCTCACAAATGACAACGGGAGTAGCAACCCACTTTTAAATAATATTTTTATCATAAAAAGCATAATTAACAAGGATGCTTTGCTCCGGATCATTCGTTAGGAAACATAAAAGTTAGAGAATAAGCACGCCTAAATCAGACAACGAATGTATGTTCTAACCCCTGAAACACCTTACACATTGCATGCTACTAATGCCCCTGTATACGCTACACCATTTATACTTGCGAGCCCCTAGGCACCGTACATTGTATGTCCATAACCCCTAATTATACTATACCCGTCGTACGCTCCAACCCATGAGTGTTTTACACACTTCATACAGCCACGAATATGTAGATCTATTCTTTAGGCGATGCTTTACTGACCAACATATAACACAAACGAATCCCTCAATACCGATCACCGACGTCAAAGACAGAACTACTAACCTACCTACCCAAGATAAGACCAACCGATGGTAAAACAGAGACTTGGTCTATCAACTACAGATAAAACTTGCCCACTAATGATAAGGTAGAAAACTACCTTACCGACCAACGACGTTATAAAAATCGACATTACCAACCAATGATAAAACAGGAACTTGACTTACCAACTACAGACGATAAAGTAGAAAATTACTTTACCGACCAACGACAAGTATGAAGACTAACACTACCAGCCAATAAGCACGCCTATAGCAAATATATCATTAACCTTAAAATTCTCGTTTATAAATTAGGAGACAAAAACCATATAAATCATGCGTAATAACATTATATCCGTCATACAATCGAAAGTATTATAGCTATGCAATGTAGATGTGCGAATTGAGTGTTAAACTTAGTCAGGGACAAGTTAGAAATTCATTCCTGACATAGACTCTCTATCAATTTACATATAGCTATGCAATATAAATGTAAATTGATAAGTTTTAACTGTCCAATGCATTTTATTTCAAATCACAAATTTTAAGGGATAATACCTAAATATCGTTTATTAAGTAGTATACTATAATAATGAGATAATTAGGTATGAAACATTATTATGTGAACTCGGCTTTTACTCTCAAGAAACATCTAAAAGATTCTAGAAGGTTCTAGAAAGGCGGTTGAAAACCGTTACATTCCAGAAGCATGATGCAATGCATGATGCAACGCTGAGACACGTTGCAACCTGCAAGGCCCGTTGCAAGCCGCGTAGCGGTGAGTCACCAAAGAAGTACCGCTATCGCTACCAAGAAGAAGATAAGATAAGTCGGAGCGAATAGCCAACAAAGGCATACCGCTATCGCTACCGAGAATAGGATAAGGAAAGTCGGAGCGGCCGGCGATGAGTCATCAAAGGAACGCCGCTATCGCTACTAAGAAACCATCTCTCCGGGACTTAACCGTCGCAATCTCTACCAGGAACAGATTGTCTCCGGTACTTCCCCGGCATACCTCTCTTGCCATTGGCTAAGCCGCATCGCCCGATGGGAGGAGCGAGCCACATTTTACGGTATATAAACCCTGCACCCGGCACGGAACGGCAGTGATTTCGTCGCAGTGGTTCCAGTCAACAACAATCCAGCACTCAACCAGCAAATACTACGGGGTCCTGAAGACATAGCCGCCATTTTGGTGAGACACAGCCGCCATTTCGGACCGAGGTACCGAGGCTCCTCAGATCTTCAGACTCAGAGGGAAGAACACAGTAGCGAAGTGTACCATAGCAAGGCACATTAGACATTGTCTAACCTTGTGAGTATTTAAGCCAGTTCACATATCCCTAAATAGTAAAGCGCGACGGGCACTCATTATATTTAATCATTATATTTAATCATTATATTTAATCATTATATTTAATTATCCAATATTAACTCAATCTTACATTACATTTCGAACTCTGAATTTTGAGCATAGACATAAGCGACATATTACTCTGCGTTTCCGATATTATTTCAATCTACGATTTGCATCTGCATACGTCTGCGTTACAATCGTCGATCTACTCAATATTTTATCCAATACTATTCAATATTATTTAACCGATATCGCATACTTATTCAATCTATTATAATAAATATACTTATGTATTTTATTATATCACTGCTTATTTATATATGTATGTAACCCTGTATCCTACCACATATTAGCGAATTGAATGCCGCTAATTCCTCTGTACAAATTAGAAACTATATCCTGTCAGAAGGTACATTCGCAAGTCATCTCTGAGGTGCACGTTTAGTAAAGTGAACGTCGCATTAGCCTATTAAGACAAGGACCAGAGAACCCGGCCTAGCCGGATGAACACCTATCTCTCTATCGCTTTTACGCTTTTATTACCTTGCATTTTCCAATAGTTGCGAATACTTTACCACACCAACTGACAGTGATTTTGCATATTGATATTCGATTCATTTGACAAGTGTACACTACCTTATCCTATTTACTACTAATAGAAATATGCCCTGTCATAAGGTAAATTCGTTACTACGATTCTGAGATGCACGTTTAGTAAAGTGAACGTATGCATTAGCCTTTAAGGACCAGAATTCACACGGGTAACCGTGTATTTCTTTAACCTTCCCTGCTTACTCTCTCTCTGCTCTATAATCCAAATGAATTACTTTACCAAACCGAATGACAGAGGTCTTGATAATTACTAAGAATTATTACTTCAATGTTTAAGACATTAATCTTTGATGCTTGAAAGTACAAGTATTAATATTCTTGATATAGATATTAATACACGTACCCAGAATCCTTGCATATTGAAATTAAACTCATTTTGATTAGTATATCCCACCTCACCCCGTTTAATACACATTAAGATAATATCCTGTCAGAAGGTACATTCGCAAGTCATCTCTGAGGTGCACGTTTAGTAAAGTGAACGTCGCATTAGCCTATTAAGACAAGGACCAGAGAACCCGGCCTAGCCGGATGAACACCTATCTCTCTATCGCTTTTACGCTTTTATTACCTTGCATTTTCCAATAGTTGCGAATACTTTACCACACCGACTGACAGTGATCTTGACGAATCATTGAGAATTTATTTATTTCTAAACCTGAAATATAACTATCGACATATCGAGTATTAATATTCAGAATATCGATATTAATACTCATATTCAAATCCTTACCCTCTCCCTGCATCACTATCTCTCTTCTTTTAACGCAAACTATTATAATCATTATTTCAGTGTTTAAAACGTTAACCCTCGATGTTTGAAGGTACAAATATTAATATTCTTTACGTTACCAACTAACGATAAAATAAAAATCCACCTTACCACTTAGAGATACTTTTACCAACTAATGATAAAATAGAAATCCACTTTACCACTTAGAGATACTTTTACTAACTGATGATAAAATAGAAATCTACTTTACCACTTAGAGATACTTTACTTATAGCCGATAACATA